ATAAACATTCGAGCCCTAGTAATAACATTTTTAAGCTAATTGTTATTTTAATATTATATCATACCTGGACAAGTGGTTGATCTGGAATCCGATATACGATTTCTTTATCATAATGAGATCGCATCGGAGGTTGTCCAGTAACTGGCATAGCACATACATGCAAAGCAGTAGCTACACTCTGCAATAAAGTATCATCACTAACATGAGGACCAGCTGGTCGCAATAGACCAGTCCATCTAGTACCTAATTCATAACCATCTTTTTCTGATGCTCGAATACCTTCAAGTCTTTTCTCCCAAAATACCTACAACAGATCATATTATGATAGGTTCACAAATCAATAAATATACTGATTTACTTGTCTAGGCTTTTCTTGTCTACCGTGTTTGAAGTCKGCTTTAACTTTTCCTTCTTGGTTCTTATGAACAGTAACAGGCTGTTTAAATATTGATGCTGTTTGTCTGATTGGTGGTACAAGAGCTCCTTCACTTCTAATGCCACGGCTAAATAGATAGTCAATATGTTAAGCATAACATTATAAAATATATATTTTATATTAATTAATCAATATTTAAACATATGTATATTCTTCAACTAATTAAATGGTAAACTCGTTGGATATTTATTATTTATGATTATTTAAGTAATTATATATGGTAACATTTATTGTATATTACTGTATATCATATTATATTAGTATTTAGTATCAACACATGGAATATAAAAACTGTTTTTTTTTTTTATTGAAATCTTTAAAATTAGTTTTAATCAATAATATATTTGCATACTAGGTATATAAGATTAGCCAGTAGCTACCAGCCAGCCAGATTATYTCAATATTAAAAATGTATCAATGAGTAAGATTGAATTAAATGCTTGGTTTTATTTATACTAAATTCAAATTTTAACCAGATATAAACATGTTTAATAATCCTTATAGTACCAARTCAACTAACTACTTATTCAAATACTTTTTTGGTTTGTAATCAATTTAGTAGGTWAAAATGCTTACGTTTTAAAGATAACTAATCATATAAATGTTACGTTAAGGTTCATACCATAAAATTTCCATTTCTTCAGCTTGCGTCTTTAAAATCAAAATTTGTTCCCTTCGCTTTTCAGCTCGTTTCATCCGTGATATTCTAGCTTTAGTTTCCAATGATCGCTTCTTCAGCCGGGGCATGATGAATAATACTGGTTTATGATATTGTCTGAAGTAGCTACCGTTACCGTAAGCGCCGCGTTAGAAAACTACTAAATTCATTAGAAAATTAGAAAAGTAATAGAAAATTATGAGAATAAAGATTTATTGCACTTTGAATAAAAACAAAAWMAAAATAATTGTTGTTTATTGTTTATACTGATAAGCACTGTATGCGGTCTCCAGCAGCTGCAGATATCTGTRAACTTAACMAAGGTTTCGTTATCAAAGAACACAATTTTGGTTACGTCACCTCATATTAAATAATAGGCCTACCGCACTACCGCCTACGAAGAATTAATTAATATAATATGATGAAAAGATCTATATAATAATTAATAATATATCCCGTTCCCCATTAAAAACTCCATCAACTCCGAGTAAAAAATTCTGGTCATTGAGTGAAAAATACTTACAAAATAAATGTTAAATGATAATCAACTAGATACCAAAATATGAATGTGTGATATAAGGTCGTATAA